CCATCTCCACCAGTCGTGTCATCACCTCCATCACGGGACTTGTTCGACTTGGTGTCAATCTCATCTTCCCCTGCTTCACTCTCTGAACCTGTGCTTTGACCGTCCGATGAACTTTCAACCACATCTTCTCCACCCAACTGTGTGGCAGTCAGGACAGCATCAATGGGGGAACTGTCTGGATAAGCACCCTCACTTGGTTGCTCACCAGTGGCTTCAATCATCTTCTCCGGCGACATCGTGAGAAGCACCGTGCGAATTGGATGAACGTGAGAGTTCAAAATGCTTGGGCCAGCAATGCTAGGTGTCTGTCAAGTCTGGCATTCGTTCAAACAAATCAACAAGGGAAATCTCTGCTTAACCTGACACTTCCGTCAATCACCTTTCCCTCCCACTCCACTGGAAGGCGCACTGATTGGTGATGTCGTCGTTGAAGACAAAAGCGTTGCAGCGGAATATGATGAAGTAAGAAAACTAAATGATGATGATGATGATGATGGTGATGATGATGATGATGATGATTAGTTCATTATAGCATACATCTTCTCAAAATATATTTATTATCAAGTAATCACTCACCCAAGACACCATAAAATCACAACGGCCCCGACAAAACCAAACCCAATCAATGATATACCCTAAAATAACCAACAAGGTAAGGATGAAACATGTTTACCAAAAATGTCCTAAAATCACCTTCACAAAAAATGAAACAACCACATGTTTATAGCCAACGTAAAAACATAACAACCAACAATCAACCAAAACTGTCTTACAATCCCTGTTTCCCCATTCTGGGGCGGAAGGCCTTTGAAGGGGCCCCTGAAATCCACTAATTTTTAACTTTGGACCCAAATTTGTGACCCATGATAAGAAGTGAAGCCATCAGAGCCTACTCGGGGCCCTGGGGCCGAAAAGGCTTCAAGTTGAGCTTTGCAACGGGTAGCTGTGCAGTTGCTCCAGGACACACCTGACAGTTCCACGGATGGCTCGGGCAGTTGCTCAGATGCTGAGGAAATCTCAGCCCTTCAGGTTAAGCAAACACCTTATCCCCAATGCACATGGCGACTCACGCGTCCAGGTATGGCCTGGGCTTGGGTGTACTTGCTGTGCCATGTGAATTTTCCAAATACCCGGTCGTGTTGACCCTGAACTGCAGACGGTCCATTCCAAATCCATTCCAGTGTTCATCATCGGTTCGGTTTGTGGTTTCTGAGTTCTGTAATCATCTAGACGCATTTTATTGGAGTTTTTTTTTTCGGGATTTTGTGTTTTTGTTTTGGTTTTCCAGCCTGGCTTTGTGGCTTTTGTGGCTTCTGTGGCTTCTGTGGCTCGTGTGGGTGTGTGGCTTTTGTGGCTTTACCATGCTTTACCATGCTTTACCATGCTTTACCATGCTTTACCATGCTTTACCTATCTATCAACCAATATAACCTAATCTAATCTTATCTGATTTTATCTTGTTTTTATCTTGTTTTATCTTACCTATCTAATCTATATATCTAACCTATCCAACCTATCAAATCTATCTAATCTATTTAATCTACCAAATCTATCAAATCTATGTAATCTAATCCATCTAATATAATCTATCTCACCTGTCTATTAATCTATCTATCTAATCTATCCATCTAATCTATCCATCTAATCTATCCATCTAATCTACCTAACTAATCAATCTATTTTAGTCTATCTATTTAATCTCTCTATTTGATATGTCTATTTAATCTGTCTATCTAATCACGAAAGCCACCCGCTATGCTAGGCGAAGTTCCTTTTGCGAACAAAGTGAGTTATAGGGGGTCTGGAGGTAGAGCGGGCGAGGACAACGCAAAATCACGGAATTAGGTGCAGTGTAGGCATGGCAGTTGGAACGTTTTTGAAGGTTATGTACCAGTCCCCCCTGGTCTGTCCTCCGAGGTGCACTTGGGGAGACTGGAATGGAAGAGTTAAATTATGGAGGAGTCGAGTAAAACCGTGGAAAAATCGACCAAAAACCATCCGAAAATTGAGTAAACCATGGAAACTATTGGAAAATGGAGTAAAACCATGGAAAAGCCGAGTAAAACCCTAGAAGCAAAAACATAGGAAAATCAAGTAAAACCATGGAAAAATTGAATAAAACTATGGAAGAATCCAGTAAAACCATGGAAAAAATCAAGTAAAACCATGGAAAACTGGAGTGAAACGTTGGGAAAATCGAGGAAAATGGTTTGTCGTCGGAGGTGCATTTGGGGAGGCGTTAGACACACTGGAATCGAAGGGAGTGCTTAAGCAGCTTCTGTCAGTAGTTGGGCTTGTTCTTGTCGACTTGTATTTGTCGGGCTCCGATGTGGGACCATTATGAGGAAAAGGCATTGCTTGATGGTCCGTCCTCGGAGGTGCATTTGGGCAGGCGATAGAGAGACTGGAACCGAAGGAAGTCAGAGGACAAGGCATTGCTTGATGGTCACAAGGATAGTTGTGTCCGATGTGGGGCCATATGGTCGCAAGGATTAGAAGCAATTTCTGTCAGTATACGATGCTTTGGGAAAGACTGGAATAGAAGGGAGTCGGAAGGAAAGGCATTGCTTGGAAAGGTTGCGGAAGGATGTGGATGAGATTGTTCTCGTCGACTTGTATTTGTTGGGCTCCGATGTGGGACCATTATGGTCGCAAAGATCAGAAGGAACTTCTGTCAGTATAGGATGCTGGGAGAGAGTGGAAAAGAAGGGAGTCCGAGGAAAAGGCATTGCTTGAGGAACTCCTGAAGAACTTCTGTCAGTATAGGATGTTGACGAGACTGTAGCCATCTACTTGTATTTATTGGACTCCGATGTGGGACCATTATGAGGAAAAGGCATTGCTTGATGGTCCGTCCTCGGAGGTGCATTTGGGGAGGCGATGGAGAGACTGGAATCGAAGGGGGTCAGAGGAAAAGGCATTGCTTGATGGTCACAAGGATTAGAAGCAACTTCTGCCAGTAGTTGGGTTCCGATGTGGGACCATTATGGTCGCAAGGATTAGAAGCAATTTCTGTCATTTACGATGCTTTGGGAAAGACTGGAATAGAAGGGAGTCGGAAGGAAAGGCATTGCTTGGAAAGGTTGCGGAAGGATGTGGATGAGATTGTTCTCGTCGACTTGTATTTGTTGGGCTCCGATGTGGGACCATTATGGTCGCAAAGATCAGAAGGAACTTCTGTCAGTATAGGATGCTGGGAGAGAGTGGAAAAGAAGGGAGTCCGAGGAAAAGGCATTGCTTGAGGAACTCCTGAAGAACTTCTGTCAGTATAGGATGTTGACGAGACTGTAGCCATCTACTTGTATTTATTGGACTCCGATGTGGGACCATTATGAGGAAAAGGCATTGCTTGATGGTCCGTCCTCGGAGGTGCATTTGGGGAGGCGATGGAGAGACTGGAATCGAAGGGGGTCAGAGGAAAAGGCATTGCTTGATGGTCACAAGGATTAGAAGCAACTTCTGCCAGTAGTTGGGTTCCGATGTGGGACCATTATGGTCGCAAGGATTAGAAGCAATTTCTGTCATTTACGATGCTTTGGGAAAGACTGGAATAGAAGGGAGTCGGAAGGAAAGGCATTGCTTGGAAAGGTTGCGGAAGGATGTGGATGAGATTGTTCTCGTCGACTTGTATTTGTTGGGCTCCGATGTGGGACCATTATCGTCACAAAGATCAGAAGAAACTTCTTACCCCTTCATAAATGTAGGTTGGTTGGGCAGGGGCTTTATGAGGTGTGAAAGTGTTGATACCTTTTGGGCCTTGATGCCAATTTTGGCTCAAGGACCCACTTTTTGGTTTTTCGCCTTCGTGGGTCCATGGCACTTCGGCCTATTGATTGGACTGCCTGGAAGGGTGCGGCGAAGCTGTGGCTCACCACCCATCCGGGGTTCAATCATAGGGAGGTCACGCGCGAGCAGCGGCTGGAGACCTTCGAGCTGCGCGCGGCCTTTGCGGTGGCGACCGCGGCTGCCCATCGCGAGGACAGAGGCCTGGGAGCCCTGCCTTGCGATAGGTGCGGCGTGTGGACGCACTGCTGGTGCGAAGCTTGCCAGCGGCCTGCGACGGCTATCTGCACTGTTTGCGATGCCGCGGAGGCGATCTGCCACGCCTGTGAGCGTGCCGGAAAGTCCTGGCGAAGCGCCCGAGCGGCGTATGAAGCGGCGACGCCGCAGGAAGAGGAGATCGTCGAGATCTCCGGGTTCCATGATGCAGCGGGAGTCTTCCAGACCATTGACCCCCCGCTCCGGATCCCCCTCCGGGAGGTCCTCTCGGCCAATGGCGAGCCGGACGCGGCCGCCATCACCCGCCGTGCCGCCGCGCACGGCCAAAGAGGTGACGGCCGGTATGGCGCCTGAGGTGGTGGACATCCTGCTGGATCTCCCCCTCCCCCTCCTTGCACGCCTGGGCGCTGAAGGAGTGGAGACGGCGGCAGACGTAGTAGGGTTGTATCCCAATGTGGACCTGTTCATGGACGCCTTGCACGCCGTGATGGGGACACGTGTGGATGCTGACCTTAGCATGGATGTGGCGTGCACTTATGCTCGGGTTCATGGGCTGGCCCGTAAGACAAAGAAGCACGCAGTTGAGCTCGTAGTCGCCCCCTCGGGTGCTGCTGAGCGTTGTGGAAGCCGTGAAGCGGCAGTTAGCAGCCGCGGAATGAAGCCCCTGGTGGGCCTTGGGACAGGCTCGGCCGGATCCACTGTGGTGTCTGGGCCTGGTCCTGCACCGGCCAGCACCAAAGCGGATGTCGCCAAGCAGACTAAGTTGGACCTCCTTTTCCACCTGCTGGTCGACTACGTTTTGGACTTGCAGGAGCTGGGCATCGATACTGCCCTCCTGGCTGACCCGCTGGGTCGCACAAAGGTCCGTGAGACTGTGCTCCACGGGGCCCAGAGATTGTCGACCCAGAGGCTTGGCGCTTTGATTAGCAGCTTCAAGAGGTGGGTGAAGTTCTGTGAGGAGAGGCAGTGGGCGCCTAACGCCCCGAAGCCGTTCCAGTTGTGGCCACTTACCTGCACTGTGTCAGTCAGGGGGGGCCCACAGCGGCTTCGTCGATGCATGCAGCTTTGAAGTGGTTTGCAGACCAGGCTGGTGCGGCCCTGGACCTGTCGCACCCCATGGTGGCCCCTTACCGCTTCCATGCTGTGACCCACACAGCGCGGCAGGCCCCGGAGCTTCAGCCCTGGGAGCTGATCAACTTGGTTTGCCTCTTCGGCCGTGCCAAGGGCAACCATAAGCTCCTGTTGGCCTGGGTGGTGATGGCGGCGATCTCTTGTGTGCGCTGGGAACACCTGCAGCGCTCGAGCTTCGTGGCTGGCCACACCAAGTGGATTGAATTCCACTGCCAGCAAGGCAAAGCTCGGAAGAAAGGAGCCAGGCCCGCGTATGGATGGGCTCTGCCAGAATTGTGCTGGGAAGGCCATGGTGTTGGCCGCATCCTCGAGGATTTTTACCGGCATGAAGTGCTGGCCACGGCGGGTTTCCTGGTACCAGCACTGCAGCTGGCTGCGGACAACCTCTGGGAAGTCACAGAGACTACCCCGCTGGTCCTTGGCAAGCCGATGTCCAGGGGACGCTTCCTGGAAATCTTCCGGGGTGCCCTCATGCAGTGTGGTTTGGATACCCACTCAGCGAAAGGGGCGGCCTACGCTGGGTAATGTGCTGGAGATTTCCGATGTGGATGCGCAAGCGGTGGGCAACTGGACTGAGGTCCCACAGGGAGGTGGCCTCACTGCACCGAGACCCAAGGCTGCCATGACCATGGGCCGCCACTACGGGGGCCATAAGGTGCTGCGCTCAGCGCTGGTCAAGGTGCGCCTCATGGAGCGCTTCCTGGAGCTGTGGAAGTTGCAACGGCAGCATGTGTCCCTCAATGCCGAGGGCCTGCTGCCTGTTGACTCCTGGCGTTGGCCTGACTTGCAGGCGTTGCACCGGCAGACTCCTTGGTCAGCAGCCGAGCCAGACCTGTCCGCTGCTATCACGGATGCGGCGGCCCCGGCGCCTGAGCAGCCAGGGGAGGAGCAGCCGGACGACCAGGCAGCTACCCTGGAGGAGCCGGCAGGTGAGCCAGAGGCGGCATCAGGTGCCTCAGGCGATGACAGCAGTTCGGCTTCTGACATCTCCGCTGATGCGGATGACCTATAGTGGGCATTTTGCCGGACCCTACAGCAGCAGCTGAAATCAAGTGGTTTCGCCAGGGCACCAAGACGCACCTGGTGAGCGACACATCAGAGAGTGACCGGCTGATCCCGTATTGCCGAGACAAGCCGTTTGACCAGGATCCTGCCCGACGGGGCGTGGGCTTCGTGCGTGGGGGGCTTGAGTGCATCTGCAAGCGATGTCTCAGCCGTATGCCACGGGGGCTCTACCTGAGTCTGGCGGAGCACTGCGGCTGGTCCTCCTGAGTCCTGAATAGCTGCGGGCCCGTACTATACATAATTTGTGTGTGCCAAAAAGGGCGCGAGCTGCAGGCAGTTTCACTTTGTTTTTCATGTCAGTGTGGTTTGTTTTTGTCACGCCTAATAGGCCCTCAGGCTGTAATAGGTGGACAGGCAACCCCCTGTCGGTCTCGAGAAGGCGCAGCCGTCTGTTGTGCCTGTGCGAACTCTATGCTTTGGAGTTTTGGACCCAAGCTAGTAGTGTGCCAGCCCACCAGCGCGCGCCATGAGCCGAGTCGATGTGCTGGCGGATGACCGCGGCCTCCAAGGATGCTTCAAGGTGGCTAACATCCAGCAAGAATGGGCGCAGGACTTTATCACCAAGCACAAGTTGGTCACCCTGGACGACTATATCTACTCGGTTGCCCATGATACATGGGAAAAGGGTGTGGAAACCTTGGTGTCCCAGGTTCCCACCCTCAGGGACAACATGATCGCGCTGGCGAGGTTTCGCAGCGCTTTTGACATCCCAAACTCTCGCCGAGCAATTTTTTTCAATAGATCTATTGAAAAAGAAGGAAAAATCAGTAGCGATTGAAAACAGCATTTTCCAAGTTAAAATCAATAGAAATGTCATTTTGGTATATAGATTTCTATTGATTTTTGAGGCACTTTTCTATTGATTTTTTATTGGTGTTTCTATTGATTTTTAACAAAATTCCTATTGATTTTTTCTTTGAATTTAAGTTAAATTCCTATTGATTTTGGCTTTGAATTTAGGTCAAATTCCTATTGATTTTTGCTTTGAATTTGGTTCAAATTCCGATTGATTTTTGCATTGATTTTAGGTCAAATTCCTATTGATCTTTTCTTTGAATTTAATTGACGTCTATTTATTTCTATTGAATTTCAAAAGTAAACATCTATTGAGTGGTAAGCCGTGAATCCTGTTGATTTTTCACCATTTCAGAATTACATCTCCTTTTCTGTTTTCTCTCGCGTGCTTTTTTCACAAAATAGAGAAGCTGGGTGTTTGAAACTTAAAACATATATACGCTTACAGACGAAATATACTAACTTCAAGACTATGCAGCAGTCAGATTGCCAAGTAAACGGGAAAGACAACTTCACTGATGGCTGGATAGCCAAATTATGGCATGGATGGCTGCATAGCCAAGTCCAGTGATGGCTGGATAGCCAAGTCCATTGATGGCTGGATAGCCAAGTCCATCGATGGCTGGATAGCCAATATGTGTGTGCAGAAAAGCCATGCGGGTGATCAGCAGGCGCATATTAGGCCCAAAAATGCCCAAAGCGAAGAAAAGTAGGCGGTCAAAATGCCCACCTGTCGACACGGGGCACATGGATGAGCTGCTGCAAAGTTATGTGAAAAAGAAGGGTATAGCTGCTTCCTTCGAGTTGGGCCGCTACAGTGCCCTGCAGACACAGAATGCTATCAATGGCTCTGCGCTGTCGAAGCTGAAAGAGTTGGTAGGTGTCTTGATGAAGTTGGAGACGGGCCTGCACTTCAAGTTTTCAGACTTGAAGGGGTCCTTGCGGAGGTGCTGCCTACAGTTTCCGGAGTTGAGGTACAAGATGGAGGAAAGCAAGAGGTGTGACTATGAGGGAACCATGGCTTCTGCCTTGCTTTGTGTCTGTGCGCATACCAGGCGCCTGAAAGACTCAACAAGATTCCGGGAGGCTTGCTCAAAGTGCACAGACGACGAAAAGAAAGAGCTCTTGGAGATGAAGAAGTGGCTTAGTGGAGAAGAAAGCGAAGGAGAGGACCAAGTAACTTGGCCAAATGGATTTGTATGCGCGGGGCCCTTCAGGAAATAGGAGCTTGTTTTTGGATGGGTTGTTTTTTTCTGCTGATCTCGAGGAATCTGTGGCTGGTTCCATAGAGCTTCCAAGCTTGCCAGCAACACCTTTGATGGCAACACAGAAGAAGAGAAAGGCAGTGGCCTCGGCCACGCCAGAAGAGAAAGGACAGCCTGACTTGGATGAGGAAGCAGAAATGGCGACCCCACTGCCTTCCAGAAAGGCAAAGCTGAAGGAGAAAGTCCTGAAGAGGCCTGCAGCTGTTTCACCGCAAAAGAAACCAGCAGCTAAGAAGGTTGAGAAAAAGATGGAAGGCAAGAAGAGCTGGGTTCTGATGCACTACAAGAGAAGCAAGGTCAGAAAGAGTGATGCATGGGCTGTTCGCCAGTGTGGGGGCTCGCAATTGTTTCAAATGGTGTGTTCAAAAGACAAGAATGCGGAAGGCATTTGCAAGCAGGCTGTGAAAAAGTTGGAAGATGGAGATTCGCCTAGGAAAGTCAAAGAATGGGCAAAGGCTCAGTAAGAGCGAAGCATGGGCCCACGCAGAAAAAGTTTGCAGTGACTGAAGCATGTGTGATGGCTGGATAGCCAACTTTTGCAAATTCGTTTCTCTCTTGCTTTGATGGCTGGATAGCCAAGCGTAGGGATCCATTGCCCAAAAAGGGTGATCACTGTGCATCTGCACTCATTTCCAAAACGCCGTGGGTGGCTGGAGGGAAGCCAAAACGCAAGCGTGAGTGGATGGCTGGATAGCCAATCTTGGGACAACTTACAATTGGCATTGCACCGAGCGGACGGGTTCAAGCAGGAGCTGCCGAAGGAAATGCCATGGCGCACCGAATGGATAGCGTGCCTGCAGAAGATGCGCGTCGTATAGATGCCGCCGCCACGCGTGTGGTCCCAGGGGGAGGAGGCTGGCTGAACCGGTTTCGTTGTAAAAATAGATGGCTGGATAGCCAGGTCAATAGATGGCTGGATAGCCAAGTCTGTTGATGCAATTGGATCTGGAGTTCTGCAGCAATGGCTAGTAAAGCCATTTTCTGTTATATTTCTGTGTCCTCTGATTGCAGCAGGAACGAACTACTGGCGGCAAGCGACGAGGACTCTGTGGGATGCAACGGCGGTGGCGGGAGAAGACTACCAGGTGTGGCTCCGGGCAGTGGCAAGAAGCGGCTGTAGGATGACAGGGGTGCCGCCACCAGGGACGATGGAGTCACACAGAAGTGCCTTGATGAGGGCATTCACCCGAAGTGGTTCAGAGGACTACTGGGCCACTTGGAGATTGCAGCTACTTTGTTGTTTTGCAGATGGCTGGATAGCCATGATGAACTCTATATAGTTTTGTCTTTTTTGTGTTGGATGGCTGGATAGCCACATGGCAGGAAAAAATCTTTCGAGTTGGAGGGCTGGATAGCCATCTTGTCGTACCAGTTCTATCTGCTGATGGCTGGATAGCCAGTATGGCTTCGCTCAGGACTTCGTCGACGCCTGCATTGACAACCGCGAAGTCTCCACCGCAGCAGGAGCCGGGCTGCACTCTCCAGCTGCTAGCTCGACACCTGAGTCATGGGTGCATGAGCCCAAGCAGCCCCCTTGGCGCCGGTCGAGCCGCCCCACTGGTGGCGAGAAAGGAGAAGGAAAAGGTGGACAGAAAGGAGAAGGAATAGGTGGAGAGAAGGGAGAAGGGAAAGGAGAAGGGAAGGAAGGAAAGGGCACAGAGAAAGGAGACAAAGGAGAAGGAAAGACCGGTGAGAAAGGAGAGAAAGGAGAGAAAGGAGAGAAAGGAGAGAAAGGAGAGAAAGGAGAGAAAGGAGCAGGAAAGGCCGGAGAGAAAGGAGAAGGAACGGCCGGAGAGACAGGAGAAGGTACGGAGGCAGGAGAAGTCACCGGAGAGAAAGGAGGAGGAAAGCCAGGAGAGAAAGGTGACGCGAAAGGTGTAGAGAAAGGAGCAGAGAAAGGAAAGAAAGGAGAGAAAGGAAAGAAAGGAGCAGAAGAAGAGGACGGAGGAGGGAAAGGACCAGCGGGCGAGGGAAAGAGCGGGGGAGGGACGGCGACGGAGAAGGGAAAAGGCGCTGGTGGATGGGGTGGATGGGCAGAAACCTCCTGGAACAACCCGTGGTGGCACCAGCCTGCGGCATGGGAGCCTTGATTTTGAATGGTGTACTGATTGCTGGATCTTCACTTGTTATAGCAGTGTGACGGGATAGATGGCTGGATAGCCAGCCACCTTGTTTGTGTCTTTTGATGGATGGATAGCCACTTCTTTTCTGTGCATGATGGCTGGATAGCCACATGAGTCGTCTTTTGGTAGCTGCGCGGCCATGCGAAAGACAGTGAGAGTCATCTAAGGCCTGGGATAGCGCAAATGCAACCAGCGCCGCGAGCGAAGCCGCTGAGGTGGCCGCAGATCGCAGCGACTGGGATGGGGAGAACCTGGAGTGTTTGAGCTGCAGCTGCCCTTTTTCATCTCGTTTTTGATGGCTGGATAGCCAAGCCTGAAAGTTCAGATGTTCGCAACTTCCTGCCTGATCGATGGCTGGATAGCCATTTTAAACTCTAGTATTGGTGGCTGGATAGCCATGACATTGTCAGTTAACTGCTGGATCTAGCCATTGCTTGCGCAGATCGAATGACATACTCTAAGGACCCTGGACCTAGAACCTGAGTGGCTCGGCAAGTGCCGTGACTGTGGCCAGAAGACCTATGTGGCTGCACAGTCCGCACTGAGGCAGCATGGTGTGGCAGGCTGCCTGGATGCGTCCTGCTGGGGCTGCCGTGGTCCCAGGTTTTGCAAGAACTTGAAACGAGCTAGCCAACTTGCGAAGTTCGACAAGGGCAAACCCTGGGAACATGGCAGGACTGGATAAGCCCTCAGCGGTGTACCATAGATGGCTGGATAGCCACTCTTTTGCTGCAGCTGGCAAGTGTCGACAGATGCTGCCAGGGTACAGGGCTCGGTATGGAGCCAACAAACCGCTCAAACACAAGAGCTACAAAAAAAAAAGGTGTCCTACTTGAATCAGCCGGGTTCATAGAGGGCTGGATAGCCCAGCCAATGGCCAGGCGGGTTTATTGAAAGCTGGATAGCCTATTGTCTGCCCCTCTTTTGAAGGCTGGGTAGCCTTGCTTGCACCTAAACAAGGCTGCCAATATTGTCTGCCCCCTATAGCCTTGTCTGTACTTAGAAGGCTGGATAGCCTTGTTTGCACCTCTATGGACAATTGTCTGCACTTTGATAAAAGGTTGGACGGCTTCTGCAGCTCTAGAGGTCCAAGGCTGCAAAGACTGCAAAGAAGCCATGCCGGAAAAGTCGCGAAAAGCTGCAGCCTGCAGTGCAGACGGCTCATGGGTAGATGTGGAGCCTGCTCCGAAGCAGCAAAAACTTGGAGGACCGAGAGTGAAGTGGGTTGGTGACCTCGCCTTTGTCCAAAAGCCAGATGACAAAAAAGTGTATTGCGGCTATACCCAGATGGCCGTGGACATGACTGAGAAGGTGCACTGCTTCACCGGCTGCAAGGGGGAATGCGAGAACAAATGGGAATGCCCTTGCCCTTGCCATGCTTTGCAACGTGCGTATGATGCGTCCTTGGCCGAAGCTGCCAGGGCACAGATGGCAAAGCAGCAGTCTGAGGATGTAAAGTAAGGCTGGATAGCCTGGACAGAGACCGGGAGCGATATGAAAATGGTAGCCGGAGAGCTAGACAAAAATGCGCCAGGGAAAAAAGACAAAAAAGAAGCAAAATTCACATGAAGACGCATGAAAACCCATGAAGACCCATGAAGACCCATGAAGACCCATGAAGACCCATGAAGACCTATGAAGACCCATGAAGACCCATGAAGACCCATGAAGACCCATGAATTCACATGAATTTCCATGCATTTTCATGAATTTCTATGAATTCCCTTGATTTCCAATGGAAACCTGTGATCTTCAACGAAAACCTGTTTGTTTCAGGGAAAATTTGATGGCTGGATAGCCACTTCTGCTCGATGATGGCTGGATAGCCACTTCGTTTCTGTCCTTGATGGCTGGATAGCCACTCTTCTGTTGCTTTGATGGCTGGATAGCCATGTTGGGGTCTGCTGTCCTTGTCAGATTGACTAGCAATGGTACAGCATATTCTGAAGGATTTTGGTGCCCAAGGCGTTCCAGCCACTGCCTCCTTCTATAATCAGCCATGGCAGCCCAGTCGACTTTGAAGAAGCCTGCTGCCCAACAGAAAGCCGGTATGAAGAGGCCTGCAGCTCATGAGAAAGAGGAAAAGCCGCCAAAGACCCACAAGAAAAATGGAAAGGACAAAGAAGAGGAGGAAGAAGATGATGAGATTGTGGAACCGCTACCTCTCACCGAGGAGGCGCTGCAGAGCCACAACAAGTTCCTCTCTGAAATGTCAAAACACAAGGACATGAGCCAGACGCAATTTGACAAGACATTGGCCACCTTACCGAGTCGCACAGCTGAGAGGTTGTGGAAGGCCTTTGAGGCGTGCAGAAAAGAGACAGGGAGTGATGGACAGTACAAAGAAGCATCCAGCGGCTGTGGCCAGCAGAAAAAGAAAAGAGCGCTTCTGAGAGGATGGTGCATGGACAAGGGAAAGATTGGAGACTGCTACAGAAAAATGCTAACCACAGTCAGAGTCGTTGCAAAGCAAGGAGTAGAAGAGAAGTGGATTACCAAAGCTGAGGCCCTCCAGAAATGGGGGGCAGAGGAACTGAAGGATCGACTGCAGAAAGGCACCATCAAAGCTCGCCGCAATCCCTTGGACAGGGACTACTGGGAGTTCCAAGCCATTGTTGAGAAGAAGTCCAATATGGCAGAGAAGAACCGAGAAACTCAGTATGGATCTGCATGGCAGAAGGCCTGAAGCTGTCCGTGAGGTGCAAGGTATATCTAATCATTAATTGACCCTAAACTGACGTGCGCGGACTCGCTCAAGGAATTAGGTAAACCCGAAATTGACGATTGGATGGCTGGATAGCCAATGCCTTTGTGACAGCCACTGCCCAATACCTACTGTGCCTTGCTTTTCTGCTTTGGCTAGGTTGACCACAAGAAGATGGCGGCGATTGAAGCTGTGGCTGTAGACGAGGTGCACTCCAGCGACATGGAGATGGGACATGGAGGAGAGAGCGATGAGGAAGATGAAGATGGATTGGATCCTGAACTCAAAAAAATGTTGAACATCAAGGATGCAAAGCATGAGAAAGAGAGGAAAGCCCCGAAAGAAAATGCTTGGGAAGCGGCTAGCAAAGTCGGAGACGAAGACGGTGCTGTGAGCATCAAGTCGAAAGTGCTCAAGTTCAAAGCAGAACTCAGCAAGGACGCGGCCACTGTGGAGCTGAAAGCACACGAGCTGAAGAGCCAGAACCCTGCAGAGAAGACAATGGTGAAAGATTCGCTGAAAGCAGCCGAGCACGGCCAGAGGACGTGTGAGAAGTTGGACAAGATGGCCAAAGGCAAATGCGTCCGCAGCGAAGCTGCCAAGCTTCTCCAGGTAGCTTACAAAGCCTTGACTGACCTGAAAGCTGCCAAGGCTAAGCTCTTCAAAGCTCTGAAAGCGGAGTGACTGGCTGAATGAGACTGCAGGGCTCCAGAAAGGCAGGGCCACTGCCATATGTGGTTGATGGTTGGATAGCCACAAAGGGAACAACAGCACGATGGCTGGATAGCCACAACCTTAAAGGAATCGAGCTTCAAATGATGGCTGGATAGCCACAATTGGGGTGGAACTGTGCATGATGGCTGGATAGCCACAACCTGGAGGTATTGTCTGGATGCGATTGCAAAAACTGCAGATGTATGTGGCTGCTAGCATTGGATGGCTGGATAGCCACCAAAAGCGATGGTGGGCCACAAACAGAGAAGGTTGGGGCATGCAGAAAAACCTTCTGCTAGAGCAAGAAGCCATGTAGAAAGCCCCTTGGCCGTGCTACTTTTGAAGATGTGGAGCACAGGAGAGTTGTCGGGCCCAGCCTTGCAAGAGATTGCAAAGGCAGCTGCAGATAGTGGATGCCAGGGGCAAGATGTTCAGAGGCTTGCGATGCTGGGCGCAGCAGGCAACAGTCCGCAGAATATACAAAGAGATCTTATGGCCTTGCATTTCAAAGACTTGAAAGCGCCACCTGTTCACACCGTGGAGACCAAAATTTGGGGAAAAGATGGTGACGGACAAAAAACTCTCTTACAGAGCAAGCTGCCCTTGCTTCTCCCCCATGAATGGATGAGCATGGCGTCCACTGCAGAGACATGGCCACAAAAAGAAAAGGATATTTGATGGCTGGTTATGGCCACATGCTGCTAGAACAAAAGATGCTGATGGCTGGATAGCCATGTTGCTGCAAACACGACAGTGTTACAGTGTACTAGATTAATAGCCACAAAGGATGGATACCGAGCAGCAATGACTCAAAAGATAGATCTGGCTGTATTTTGAGATTTGTTCCAAAGTGTTTCTGTGAGCATCAGGACTTGGAAGCTGTCTTTGGCTTGCAAGACTTGGAGAAATTTTGGACAGAGCAGGACCTGAACTGCCCAAGGCTATCCTCTGCAAAAAGCTGGGTGAGTCTTGGCTAGCTGTCATGAAGATTGAAGGTTGGGTAGCCAGCTCCTAGGGGTAGAAGTATACAACATGCACAGATGCCATTCCTGCGGCTCAGGAAGAGCTTTCCCGACATCAAGAAGGACGCGCCTTTGGTTTTTGCTCTACATGGCGATGCTGCCCCGCACACTGAGACAGATTCTTTGCTGGTGGTCAGCCTGAGAAGCCTCACCACCAAGCTCTCTGTCTCAGAGAGCCAGCTGCTCCTCTTCGCCTTGCCCAAAAGCATGATAAGCAAGGAAACGCTGCAGCCTATTTGGAAAATTCTCTGCTGGAGCCTTGAAGCTATGACTAAGGGAAGGTGGCCTACCAAAGCGCCTGGGAACTTGCCCACTTACAAAGTCAGCAATGGCGGCAAACCTCTCATGGGCTGGGAGAAGAGAGCCATGGTGACTTCAACGCATGTCAGAGCCATGGCAAATTCATTGATGGCTGGATAGCCATTGAGCACATGCGAATGGTTTCGATGGCTGGACAGCCACATGTCCTGAATCAAGAACTGCATTGCCGTTGCATTCACAAATTATAAGCTAACTCAGGTGTACTGCATCACCGGTGACTTGGAGTGGTACAGCAGCGAGTTCCACTTCCCCTATGCAATGGAGAACCACCCCTGTCCATGGTGCAAATGTGACATGCACGACGAAATTCCTGCCTTTGACTTTAGAAGTAGCGCTAAATGGCGGGAAACTATCAGGTCGGCAGAGGAGATGAATGCGCAGTACAAGCACCCCTTGTTTGCAGTTCCTGGCCTCAACAGTCAGTGCATCTTCTTAGACCCAATGCACACTATAGACCTTGGGGTCTCAATGCATGTGGTGGGGTCGGTCCTATGGGACCTCATCGAAGATGAGATGGTAGCTTCGAATCGGCCAGCCAGATGTGCAGCAGTCAACAGACTGATTGTTGAGGCCTACAACTTCTTGGGCACACCTTCTTCAAAACGAGTGGGTGTGCTAAAGCTGACAGACATCGGAGACAGCACCACTGAATTTCCAGTGCTCAAGCATTGCAAAGCCAGGAAAGTGAGGTATCTGGTGCCAGCAGTGAAAAAGCTTCTTGGCAAATAATTTTTGGAGGGCATTCTTGCTGGCTGGATAGCCATGTTTTTCATCTTTGATGGCTGGATAGCCATGTTTTTCATCTTTGATGGCTGGATAGCCAGGACACAAGCATCTACATCTCATCTGTCTGCAGGTTGTGTGAACAGTTTGAAACAACGAAGTATGGAGAGCACAGACTGAAGATGATTACAGCCTTGGACGACATGCTGCAGCTGATGGACATGAAGCTCTACAAATTTCCCGCTGCTTTGCAGGACAAGTTCGCCCAGAAGGTCCACAGCTTCCTGCTGCAGTATAGCTACATGGCTAAACTTTCATCTCAGCGAGGGTGCCTGAGATACTCAATGGTGCAAAAGCACCACCTGACCAGCCATCTGAGCTGGTTCACTGAGAGCTGTCACCCCCGCTGCTTTTGGACTTATGGCAGTGAAAGTTACATGGGCCACATGGTACGGATCGCAAAAGCATGCGTCCGAGGCCAGTCTCCGCCGAAGGCGGCTGAAAGCATCATGCAGAAGTACAGGCTCAGCATGCACTTAATTCTCAGTGGCTTGATGGTTTTAGACGAGGGAGGAGATGACTGAGAGGCAAGCGAAGGAAAAAAAAGCATGCAGGTGCACTATTGATGGCTGGATAGCCATGCTCGTTTCAAGATTGAGGTTTGGGGGTACCCAGAAGTTTTTGCCTCGATGGCTGGATAGCCATGTTGAGACTTGCTTTGCTTTTCGCTGGATATGCATTGGAAATCATGGCTGGATAGCCCACTTAAGCCATCTATTGCTCTCCCAAATCACCTGACAACATTTTCACCTTTTCAAAACCAATTCATATACATATATATATATAATGTACATATTTATATCTTTATACAGAGAATATATCATGCATATAAAAGTAATCTTCTGGACATGTGCTTTGTGTGTGTATTTTTCCTCTTCTTGAAATTGGCATTCTCTCTTCGATCAAAAAAACATAATTTTTGAATGCGCAATCCTATTGATTTTTAACGATTTGTTGATGAAATTTCCTATTGAATTTGATGTTTTTTTCTATTGATTTTTCGTATGGATTCCTATTGTTTTTTTTTGTAATTCCTATTGAACTTTTGTGGACGAGATCCTATTGAAAAAAAAGCGAATCGATTGATTTTGACACAAAAATCAATAGCGATTGAAAAATGACTTTCCGACTGAAAAAAATTGAGTGGAGAGAGTTAGGGATTGGCCGAGAGGCATTGCGCCAGGCTGCAGCGCCAGCAACGAAGAGTGTCGACTTGGACGAACCTCTGCCAGAGGCGACCATGAAGTCTCTCAACCAGGATTGGGCTCGCCGGTACAATTTGCAGCTGGATCCGTCTTTGGAGCCCTGTGAGGCCCTCCGGTCCCGGCTGTACCGAGAGTTTAGGAAAGGCCAGCTCACGGTCATTGAGGCTCGCAAAGTCAAGAGCATTATCACAGTGGCCCAGCCCAAGACCCAAGGGTCGGTTACTTTGGGAGACAACCTCCACTTGGAATTTGAGAAGGAGGAGGGTATCCCGATCAAGAGCTGTGTGGAATATTACCTGCAGATGCGGGTGCTTGCTCATGCTTTGGCATGGGCGGGCAACTACCAGGTGGATTATGAAGGCGGGCGATACTGGATGATGGACCTTTCCACCGTGCTGGGCTATGTGGATGTCGCCTTGCGTAATTGTATCGAATTCGCAGGTGGATCCATGTTGTGGCTGCAACGAAACGACGTGTTGACGCGGGGCAAGCTGGCGACCTACGTCAACAGAGGCATGCCAGGTTCTGTGGCCATGAAACAGGCCTTGCACGAGACGCACTTGGAGTGGCGGTCTCCCTTGGCTGCCCCGCTGGTGGTGTCCTCTGGGTCTGGGTCCCCAGGGACCACCAAGCGGAAGCAAGAGAGCAGCCCTCTGCCTGGGGGCGAGGCACCGACCAAGCGGCCGCGCACCTTGAAGGCAGATCGGTGGGCCACAGTGAGCATGATCAAGGGCGGCAAGCGATTGTGCAAGCCGTACAACGACGGCAGGGGGTGCAGCAACTCGCAGTGTGATCAGATGCATGCCTGCGATGTGAAACTGCCCAACGGAAAGCCCTGCTTGAGTCGGGCCCACACCAGGGTCCAGCATGAGGAATGACTCCTTTCCCCCGGGAGGTGTGCTACCCCCGGGGACCCATGGCTGGAGATACCTGCTGCACTGCCTGCCACGCCTGTTGGACGGGTGGTCTCACTCAGGGAACACTTTCCCTGCCCAGGTGGCGGAGCAGATCATGCCGCAGGTGGTAGCTGTGGACGCAGTGGAAACTGTGACAGGGGCCATGTTCCGTCCGTTTCTGCAACGTCGACAAGTCAGAGGCATCATTTTAGGCGGAGGTTCCCCCTGCCAGGGCAACTCTATTTTGAACACTGGCCGAAAAGGTTTGGCTGATACCCGAAGTCAACAACCTCAAGAGTTGGTACGCATCCGCCAGGAGTTGCAAGACCTTCCAGAATGTGCAACCCTGGAGATCGTCACGTTTTTGGAGAACGTGGCCTCTATGCCCCGCGAAGTCATGGACCAGTATACAGCATGGATGGGCTTCCCACCTATCCTCATTGATGCGGGTGCTTGCGGATGGGTGCAACGGCGTCGGCTGCTGTGGTTAGGCCAGGGTCGCTGCGGGGTGTCACCTCGTTGCACCCCCCCTGACGGCTGGGTATGGGTCGAGTCTGGGACCGATCCCCCCGAGCTGCGCTGGGAGGGACCCAAGCCAATCCCGGCCAAGGTTCATTTTGATCAGAGTTTTGGCCCCCTTTTTGATGCTGCGGAAGTAGTTAAGGCTGCGGGACAAGGTGCTATGCATCCGTTCACCAGGGAGTTTTGGCACCCCTGTGATCGGGTCAAGCTGGTTCCGCCAGAGGCGGCTGCTAGATTCTATCAAGATGAGAGGCGGTTCCCCCCGTCGGCCTATACAGCAGAGAGTTTGCTTTGGCGCAGGGATGAGTGGCGTCAGCCGGGGCCTGAGGAGCGCGCCCAGATGATGGGGTTTCCTGCGCAGTGCCTTCAGGCCGCCCAGGGACCAGCGGCGGTGCGTCGCCAACGCCAAAACAGTATGCTTGGCAACGGTTTCCACCTACCGATGATTGTGGCACTTTTCTGCTTGCTGCCAGGTGTGTTGAGTATGAAGGTCCCGCGACCGGTGTTTGACCTCGCGGAGCGCAAATTGCAGGAGCGTTTGGCGGGCACGGTATGGGAACCAGGCCGCTTGCAGGTGTTCCCTGGTTTGCTTTCTAGCGACCAGGTGGTGCAATCCATGCAGCGGACAGTATTCGGATCCTTGCCAATCTCTGCAAATGTGTGGCAGTTGACCGCCACCCGGTTGGCTCCCTTGCCAGTGTGGCACCTGCAAGCCTTTACTGCGTGGGCAGTCGGCCGAGGCGCATCCTGTGACCAATTAGGGCCCACCCCGCTGACAACTAGCCATCGGACAGCTCTGTTTGCAGGATTGACCGGGCAACGCTACCCGGGCAATTCTCGGAAGGGCTTGGACCATTTGCTGCCGCCAGGCGTAGGCAAGGAGGAGCATATCAAACAGGCTGTGGGCCTGCCATCGCCCTTTCGCCTTCGCGAGTGACCTGAGCAAGATGTGGATTTCGTTCTACACGCCATTGCAACATGGCAGCAGGCGCTGATCGGGTACTCTGAGCAATGCCGCCAGGTATTTCGACAGGTCTGCACAGCGCTGCTACCGTTGGATGAGGAGTTGCGCAAATTCATGGTGCACAGTGCAGTGAAAGTGGCCGCTGAAAAAAGGCCCGCCGTTTTGGCGTTTTTGACTGTGATCCTGCGATGGCCCGACTTGCAGCAACCTTTGCAGATGTTGCAGGGCTATCCTATTGTCGGGGCACTGGAGCCTAGTGGAGTCTTCCGATCCATTCCTGCTCGTGAAGCCTTGCCAAAAGAGGAATGGTTGGGGGATGCAGCTGTGGCAGCTGTGGAGAGGATTGAGAGCTCTCGCCCTCCGCGGTTTGCCGAGCGCATCTATGCTGCCACAGTTCTTGAGCAACAAAAGCAATTTTGCTCGCCTTTCCTTACCAAGCGCTGCATGGATGAGCGTTTTGGCAAAGGACAGTGGCGACCGCTGCAACGTTTCTTGATTGTGCAGCCGGATGGAAAGGAAAGAGTCATTGACAATGCACGTAAGACTCTCCACAATAGTTCGACGGCGATGATGGAAACGATTTACACAGTGCACTTGGACTTCATCCCGGCCGTTATCAAGCAACTGGCGCACCGGCTTCAGGTGACTAGTCCAGGGGATTGGAGTGTCTTCCACCCCTGGGCGCATTTCCGCCTGGGTACGGATGATCTGCCGGATGCATATCGTGGTCTGCCCGTGTGTCCAGAACATTTGCCATACTCTGCTGTGGCAGTCTGGGTACCCCAGCAGGGATGGCGTTACACTATCTTGTGGGGGCTGGCCTTTGGACTCGAAAGTGCTGTAGTCTCATTCAACCGACTGCCTCAGCTTGGCATTGCCGCTACCAGAAGATGCCTCTATGGTCTTGCAGCAGCCTATTTTGATGATGAGTTGGCCGTTGAAGTGGTGGCAGCAGCTGACATTTCACAACAAGCCTTGCGGCTCTTGTTTACTAGTATTGGCGCTCCGCCCCAGAAGGCCAAGGGATTTGCTCCGTCACCAGATCGCCACTACCTGGGAGCCGCGATTCACTTGGGCTCCGTGATGACAACGGGTTGTGTCCGTATCCAGCCAAAATTCGCGACGGTGGCCAAAGTTGCCGGTCGTCTCCGAGTGGCCATTGCCAACCGTTGTCTTACCAAAGAGGAAGCTGGCAAGCTCCGGGGCGACATCACTTGGATGTTTTCTTTGGCGGCGGGTCATATGGGCCGTATCGCCCAACCTGTTCTGGCCAAGTGCAGCAGTGATGGCCCGACACCAATGGATGATGAAGATGTTGTTACCTTGCAGGTGCTGCTACGCATTGTCCTGGACTGTCAGCCTCGCGACGTCCAGGTGTGCGGTGTGGATAAGGTGCCTTTGGTTATCTACTCAGATGCCTCTTTTGAGCAGGGAGTCCTACGCCTGGGGTGGGTAGTGATGTGTCCGGGTACCTCCTACCAACCTCAGGGGGGGACCTGTGAGGTGCCACCAGAGGTCATAGATAGCTGGGTGCCTCGTCGCCAGCAGATTTACCCAGGCGAGGCCATTGTGGCCCTGGTCATTCCGGCTCTCTTGCCTGACCTACTACGAGGCCAGGATCTCCTGTGGTTCGTCGACAATGAGAGCGCGACCAGCACTTTGATCCGCTGTGTCTCATCTCAGTGTGATGTCCACGAGATAGCACAGTTCTCGCACTATCTGCTGAACAGTTTGGACGCCCGGGCGTGGTTTGAATGGATTGACTCCGAGTCTAATCCTAGTGATGGGCTGAGCAGATTAGGATTAGCAGATGAGTGGACACAAGCCCAGGGCTGGTCCCTCACCTCTTACACTTTTCCTCCTGGCCTCAGCCGCGGAGAATTTCTTCAGTCCCTTCAGGTTAGCGTGGTTTAGTGAACAGTGGGTGATATGAACAGTGGGTATGTGTTTGGACTCATGGTAGTCTAACCATACATGTGTTTAGACTGTTGAGTCTAACCATTTTCCAGATGTGTGTGGTATAACCCCCCATCTGTGTTTTGACCCATTGTTATTTGATAACAATGAGGGGTTCACTACCATGCCGCTACTGGAGGGCTGGTATCTTCTCACGTGCAGCGTACCAGTTGAAGGAAAGTGAAAAGAGTGCTGCAGAAGGGTTCACACTTTCTTACCCCTTCATAAATGTAGGTTGGTTGGGCAGGGGCTTTATGAGGTGTGAAAGTGTTGATACCTTTTGGGCCTTGATGCCAATTTTGGCTCAAGGACCCACTTTTTGGTTTTTCCCCACCCTCCCTCCCGGATCTCCTCTGCGGAGTGAAGGGAGAGGGTCTTCGACGGGACTTGACCCTCTAACATTGGTATTTTACCATGTAGGGGTATGTGTTTGGACTCATGGTAGTCTAACCATACATGTGTTTAGACTGTTGAGTCTAACCATTTTCCAGATGTGTGTGGTATAACCCCCCATCTGTGTTTTGACCCATTGTTATTTGATAACAATGAGGGGTTCACTACCATGCCGCTACTGGAGGGCTGGTATCTTCTCACGTGCAGCGTACCAGTTGAAGGAAAGTGAAAAGAGTGCTGCAGAAGGGTTCACACTTTCTGTCAGTAAATGATGCTTTGGGAGAGACTGGATAGAAGGGAGTCAGAGGAAAAGGCATTGCTTGAGGAACTTCTGAGGAACGTCTGTCAGTATACCTTCTGGTCCCTTCTACTTGTCCTACTTGTGTTAGGTTATAAGTATGTTTTAACATTGTTTTAACTAGGTTAAGATGGTTGCAACTAGGCAGTAGCTAGGCTATAAGTAGCTTATGCCTAAGGTCTAGTTAAAGTCTAGTTCAAGTAACTTGAAATTAGTTAGGCTATTTATTAAGTAGAAATTAAGTAGGTGAGCATTTTTGCGGGCCAACTTTGCTTAACTTGATTAAGTTACTTGTTCTTAGTTATGTCTACTTGTCTTCTACTTATTTCTACTTAACCTACTTATGCGTTTTCTCTGTTTTCTGTTGTTTTTTTTCTCGATGACTAGCTTCATGCTTTTTTTTAAGGTTTTCTGTGGTGACCCCGCGTTAGTCCAAAAACAACATATTGAACTATTCCTTTTGTTTCTCATGTTCATTATAGCAATCGTCTAAGCGGTGTGTCCGCTGAGTAGGTTGCGAGGGTTGTGAGCGGTGTGCCCGCTAAATATACATGTTCATGACGTCATTGTTTTGATATTTCGCATTGTGTTTTTTTGTTTCATAGGATCTATAGAGCGGGTTGAGGAAGCTGCCGCAACGAAGTGTGGATGTCACCGCTCATGGTTTATTGTAAGTTTTTTTCACCAGGTGTGTCTGTTCTCGAGTCAATGTCGTCCTATAATGTCAGCTTTGCCTCAAATGGCATGCTTGGGCTATCTTTACGCAATCTTTCTCTCTCTTGCTGTGTCTCTGTGCCTGCCTCGCTTTGTCCGTGCTATCTCTGTGATATCTCTGTGATATCTCTGTGATATCTCTACGAATGTGCTTCAGAGGCTGCTCCGATCCCTGATATCTCTGTGATATCTCTGTGATATCTCTACGAATGTGCTTCAGAGGCTGCTCCGATCCCTGATATCTCTGTGATATCTCTGTGATATCTATGCTATCCTGTGATATCTCTGTGATATCTCTGTGATATCTCTGTGCTATCTCTGTGATATCTCTCTGCTATCTTTGTGATATCTCCGTGTTATATATGGTATCCATGTGATATGTGTCGTCGCCGTGACATGTTGACTCTAAGTTGTCGGTTTGTATGGCTGCGTTCTGGAATCCCTTACTGGTTGTAGACTTTTGGCTGCGACGAAAGGTGCCCCTGTACAACTCTGTCTTGACATGGCGGATGTGGCAAACACTCAAAAAGGATCATAATCTTCAAATTTGTATATGGTCACTTGAGATTCAAGCATGTTGGGTATAGCGGTGTGCCCGCTGCCGCAAGCCATTTACATTTTTCACATACGGACTCTGCAGGCATTAAAAAAAGGTATATACGAGAAAATAATTAAGATAGTATTTCTCTCTTCAACAAAAATGGCGCATAAAATTGTGTAAAATATATGGTTTTAGACATGGAAAATGGCATGATGCAACTCTAATATGTTTTTTGAAGAAATCATACTTTTTAACAATGGTCTACTTATTTTTACTTATTTCTACTTATTTCTACTTAATTCTACTTATAAGTAACTTAGAATCTACTTATGTTAACTTATGTTCAATTAAAAAACTCAATTGTACATAAGTAAGACACAAGTAGACATAAGTTGACTAAGTTACTTGAAGTTAAAACAAGTAACACAAGTAGAAGGGACCAGAAGGTAGGATGTCGACGAGAATGTACTCGTCGACTGGGGTTCTGATGTTGGACCATCATGGTCGTAAGGATTAGAAGCAACTTCTGTCAGTATACGATGCTTTGGGAAAGACCGGATTAGAAGGAGTCAGGGGAAAAGGCATTGCTTGGAAAGGTCGATGGAGGATGTGGACGAGACTGTAGTGGCCGACTTGTATTTGTTGGGTTCTATCGGCACGGGATGTGAAATGAACAAGCTTTGGAAAGGGGTGACAACATAGCAGAAGATGTGATGAGACTGCTGTGCCGGCTCCGGCGATGCTTTTTGCAGTTTTTTTTGGTGAAATTAGGAAGCTTTGGAAAGGGGTGACGAAAATATGAGGTGAGGAGGGAAGAGGTAAGGATCCGTGAATGGAGGCAACGCCGCTATGGAGAAGAAACTTCTGTCGGTAAAAGATGTGAAATCAGAAAACTTCCCCTAGGATCCGGTTAGGTTATTAATAGACAGGATATAGTCTAGGTTATCATCATTTTACGATAGTCTTTACGGGGGTTATCACATACTTGGTGATAGTCTATTATCAGGGAATGAAGAACATATATGCTGATAATTTTGGAAGTATTTTCAATATATCTTATAATTGAACATTTTGTTTTTTTAATGCAACATGTACATTGGATTTTTTTTTATTTTTTCCATGTGGTTCTCAAGTTTTGTTTTCGTGTTTTTTCTTGTCATGTTTGTAATTGCGTTGTCTACTGCAGAGACGATGTTGCGCAGAAGGCTGGATCAAATTGTCTTTGATTTCAACCAACAGTCTCTGCAGATAAATTAAAATATATGTTTTATTATTTTCATTAGTTATCACTCTGCATACATGAGTGCAAAGAAATAAGTAGATTAACTTTCCTTTAAATCATATTTTCGTGTCAATAAAATTTAAAAAAGTTTTGTTGCATTTAAAGTTTGATTAAAGTTTGTTTCAAACTTTAAAAGATTAGATTCAAAGTTTAAATCAAACTTTGAAATTTTATATTCAAAGTTTTAAGCAAATTTTGAATATTAAATTCAAACTTTGGATAAAGTTTGAATAGAAACTTCTTAAAACTTTGAATTCAAAATTCAAAGTTTTAAAGTAAACATTTTAAACTTTGAAGATATATTCAAAGTTTGATTTATAAATTCAAAGTTTCAAATCAGTCATTTAAAACTTGACAAGTTACCTTTCAAAGTTTTAGATATTTTAATATTAAACTTAAAATAATACCTTCAAAGTTTCTAATGTTAAATTATAAACTTTGAAGGTGAACCTTCAAAGTTTATATAAACTTTAAATTCTATTTTTAAAGTTTGAACTAAACTTTGAACAAACTTTAAATTCACTTTTTCGATTTATGTAATATTTGTCAAAATGTGTACTAAAAAAATCCTTTTTTATTTATATATATATATATGATAAAACATGTTGCCTCATTTGGATTCAAGTTACCAAGTGCCAGATTTCAAACATTTGTCTTCCAAAGCAATCCAAGGATTCAACGTCAGCACATACTTTGGCTCGTTACCTGATTCTGGTGAAGCATCGACGCACACAACTGATTTGGAAACACTAAATGCACACTGAAATGCACAGCAATACTGCAATTTTAAGCGCGCTTTAATTCAAAGCGCTAATTCAAAGGAAAATCTGCACTTTCAGTGTCATGCATTGAGTGAAAAAAAGTTCCGTCATTGGAATCAGACAGGTTTTTTTCGTCATCTCGTTTCCGTTTCCAGTGTCCATGTCCTTCTCCGATTTTCACAAATTATCTTGTGTGTCTACTTTTTTTTAACAAAGACTAACCTTGCAAAAGCTTATCGTGATTTCGTGATAAGCTTTCGAAATAATCTATATAGACTATCATCAAGAAATCATGGATGATAACCTAAAAAGACTATTTATAGCCTAACCGGATCCTAGGGGTTTCGAAAGGGGTGATGAAAATATGAAAATATGAAAATATTAGCGTAAGGATCCCTGAAAGTCTGAGGGCGAAAAGTTTGCGGGTGAAAAGTCTGTGGGTGAAAAGTCTGTGGGTGAAAAGTCTGTGGAAGAAGAGTCTCTGGATGAAGAGTCTCTGGGTGAAACATATGGGTGCGACGTATATGGGTGAACAGACTGTGGTTGAATATTGTGACAAGGCTGTGCGTGAAAAAGTCTGTGGGTGAAAGTCTCTGGGCGAAGAGTGTGTGTGTGTGTGAAAAGTGTGCGGGTGAAAAGTCCGTGGGTCAAAAGTATATGGGTGAAACGGGTATGGGTGCAAAGCCTGAGGGTGCAAAGTCTGTGGGTGAAAAGTCTGTGTGCGAAAGTGTATGGGTGAAAGTCTGTGGGTGAAAAGTATATGGTTGAACAGCCTTGGTTGAAAAGTATATGGGTGAAAGACGGTGGGTGAAAAGTTTGTGGGTAAAAAGTATATGGGCGAAAAGTATGTTGGTGAAAAGTCTGTGAAAAAAGAGTCGCTGGGTGAAGAGCCTCTGGGTGAAGAGCCCCTCTGGGTGAAAAGTATATATATAAGTGAAAAGTCTGTGGCTAAAAAGTCTGTGGGTGAAA